AGCAATAATGATCATATCAAAAGAGTTGAACAGAAATGTTAAATTTCTAAAAGTTACTCATAAACAATGAAAATAACACTGATGACAAGATCAATAAAATAATTCATATTTCTAACTATACACTTTAAGTTGTAACTTCATGTTTAAAAGTTTCTGCCTAGTGTTTATATGTTTAAATTATTAAATCAACAAAACACCACAAAAAAGTTTTTATTAATGTTTCTCACTACCTTTGATTGGCTTTTTATTAAAAATTATTTCTCCAAAGTGATTGATCTTTATGGAATAAACAAACAAGTTTATGCCACAGGATTTTTTCTTCTGTGGTGGTTTCATTTCTGCGGGCTTCTCAGCAGCTGGTTTCTTAATAAGCTACAGCCTTTTCCCACCAACAGCTTCTGCTTTGTAAGGCCAACAGCCTCCTTGCCTTCCTTCACTTCCATAGGCTTCTTGCCTGGAACCCCTTCTCATCTGATTTGGCTTCTACCGCTGCTGCTGCTTTATCTTCCTGGAACTTGTGGTTCTAGGCCTGGCGAAGAATAGTGTTGCAATGCATGGTCTTTGCATATGGGTTTAGTTTCAACATGATTCTTGGGTTTTCCAGTGGATTCTTCTTCGGGACTCTGTGAAGAATCTTCTTGTGTGGTGCTCGAAGACTCTTTGGGTCTCTGGGCTTTTTAAGATTCTGCTAAGGTCTGTACTGAGCACCTGTGCATGGGAAGGTTGTAGTTACTCTTGAGGGAGGCAGCTTTCTGCCAAGTGCCATAGAAATTATCCAACTTATGGAAAGCACTTTCAGATACAGCCCACAACCCACCAGGAACAAGTTTCAAAATGTTCATTTTGCTTACATTAAGCCAAGTATTTCCAGGGATGTTCTGAAGGCTTTGATAATACCATTGTCCTCATTAAAGATGATGCAAGGTCCCTTGTACTGGATATGATGACAGTTTCTTGTTTTGCTTTTGCCAGTTCTCATTCAATGAGGGGCATAGACCTTGTTGATACCATTCCAGGCCTTAAGTTTCTTAAGAAGCAAAAATGGCCTCCTTGGTTTTCTTATAACCTTCAACTTTAGCTTCAACCATCAAAAGACATTCAGGAACTTCCTTAATATGAAGATCATCTTTAGACGTGAACAGTGCAGGGAAGGCCCAGGCAGCCAGGGCAAAGCCGATGGCAGGTCACTTCTGTGTGGTGTTCACGCTTCGGTGCCAATGGCACCAGGTTTTGGTTGGTGCAAATGTGTGTCCCCCACAACACATACTTCCAAAAGTACTCTGGCCAGAATGAGGAGTCCCACCACCTCAAACTCTGAGAATTTGAGCCCACAGTACTGCCATCAGCCCAAGACTCAGCACTGGCTTGATGACCTGCCAATTCACTGACAGCATAGGGCTGTCTAGTGTTTTTGCGCAAGTTGGCATGAACAAAGTTCACAATATCCGGTTGAATGGGAGCCTTAAACACAACAGGCAAAATGATTCCCTCTTTGCAGAGTACACTGATGTCAGTGGATGAACACACGCCATGGTGTGGAGAGAAGAAGGCCACGCTCCTCTACCTGGTGGCTCCCGTAAAAAGAGCCATGAAAATGTTAATAACAGAAAATCCACACATAAATTAAAATATCATTTCACACATTTTAATTTTGCTTATGTTTTTCTGTCCTTATCTATTTGGATAATTGACATACAATGTGGTATTAAACTTTCTTATTATTACACATGAAGACTATGTTGAAATTTGAAAAATTTTTTCAAATTTTTGAAAAGAAAAATTTCATGATAGTTTTCATGATTATCAGTATTCATATTTTTCATTATAAATGTTTCTCCTTTGGTTAAAATTCATCAAATACAAAATGATGCTGCTTTTATTTTTCTACCACCATGAAGCACCTTCTGTTGCCTACTTCTAGAAGACCCTAAGACAAGATGAAGGCTCTGGTTTTTATTGCAATCATCTCGACTTTTACTACCTGCTTCTTGGTAAATATTAGCTATCCTACATATGTTTATTTTCTTATTTAGTTCTTGATCATAAAGTGTAAAATTAGTTTATTGGTTTTTTGTTGGTTTTTTTAAAATATATTTTATTGATTTTTACAGAGAGGAAGGGAGAGGGATAGAGAGTTAAGAAACATCGATGGGAGAGAAACATCGATCAGCTGCCTCCTGCACATTCCCTACTGGGAATGTGCCCACAACCAAGGTACATGCCCTTGACCAGAATCGAACCTGGGACCCTTGAGTCTGCAGGCTGACGCTCTATCCACTGAGCCAAACCGGTTAGGGCAGTTTATTGTTTTATGTTAATGTAGGTTTATACTGCACACACATTGTTTTATTTTTGCCAAAGACCTTAATTTAACTTTCTTTTGTTTCTTTCCACATATTTATAGTTTCTAGAATTCCAAACATTTATAATTAGGAAATTATAATGTCATGATTTTAAATTGTATTTTGTGAGTAATACCTCTGCTATAGTATTTCTGTATATTCCCCAAAAGAAAGACATTGTGAAGAAAGTTGATTATAAGGAACACTATAAAATAAACTTGAAACCACATAAAGAATTTAACATAGATAAAATAAATTCAGAAATTCTAGATATTATATATAATTTCCAATGAAGAGCATATGTTTGGTAACCTCTAACATTTTTAGATTTGTTTGCCTGCCACCTGCACCTAAATTACATTGTCTAAGGCTCATTGCTGTAACATAATCCATTATTATTTGGTGAACTGGCAATGTCTCATAGGCTCTGATAACTGTGAGAACTGCCTCTTCCCCCATTAATTCATGCTATCTTTGGATCACTCATGTTTCTCTCCCACAAAAGGCAGTCTGGTTTTTCCTTACACCAATTCATAAAGAGGTGGGTTCCAAATGATCTCCAGGGTTGGCACCTGAATAAATAGTAATTAGTATGCTACAAGAAGCCAAATCTAGCACTACCAGGAAACTGCAAACTAGTTCAGCACACCCGTAAGAATGAGAAGGGAGAGAAACCCTTCTGCTTAAACATCTCCAGAAAAAAACTGATCATCCTTATCCCGTGTACTGTGTACACTTTAAACTGATAGAAGGTCACACCTATTTTATTAAGACACTCAAAATTCTAAAATTGTATTCAATTCCATTCACCCTAACCTGTGGTCGGCAAACTGCGGCTCACGAACCACATGTGGCTCTTTGGCCCCATGAGTGTGGCTCTTCCTAAGCCTTAGGAGTACCCTAATTAAGTTAATAACAATGTACCTACCTATATAGTTTTAGTTTAAAAAATTTGGCTCTCAAAAGAAATTTCAATCGTTGCACTACTGATATTGGCTCTGTTGACTGAGTTTGCCGACCACTGCCCTAACCCAACCACATTTTATCCTCATAAATAATTTATAATCAGTATTCTTAAAATGCCATATATACGCTGAGCTTAATTTTGTAACATATGAATTCTTCATCTCATTTTAGTCAGCAGCTCCACATAAGAGAAAATTCCACAAAGAAGTAAGTTTTATCTGTATTGCTGATTATCTTTTTGCATTTTCATTCATAATCATGTCATTTATGTCTGAAAAGTTGATAAGGTACAATATTTGTATTTTACTTGTTTTTATTCCTGACCTAAGAAAATGAGAGAGCCAGAGTCACCCAATGGGAATAGTTCTGTTAGCACCAAAGCTTGCCTTCAGTTGCTGGCCTCTTAGATATGTATTGATCTGCAATGGGAGTAGGACAGTTTAGCATATAAAAAGCAAAGTTTACCCAGCCTTCAGCACAAAAAAACGATCTACATCTATTCAATGTAAATGTCTTTCTTTTTATAAGTACTAGAGCTCCAGTGCACAAAATTCATGCACGGGTAGGGTCCCTAGGCCTGGCCAGTGATCAGGGCTAATCGGGGGCTTCCTTCCCCCCAGCTGCCAGCTGCCAGCCAAGGTTCCTTCATCCTGCACCGCCCCCTGGTGGTCAGTGCACATCATGGCAAGTGGTCAAAATCCCGAGGGGACAATTTTTATATTAGCCTTTTATTATATAGGATTAATGGCTTTTTAATAAGGAACATTTCCTATGATCCCACAAGATGTAAAAAATAGTTTCTTTTCTCAAAATTCAGAATCTAGACTTTTCAAAATTACAAATCTCTGTTCCCACTCTGCCATTTCTAGTTGTCATAACCCTTACTCCATGTCACAATGGAAGTAGAGTAGTATGTGTTACCTGAAAATATTTGTCATGTCATCCTGTTATATACCCCTGCTCTTTCTTTTTCCCATTCAAGACAAGTACTCAAAATGAATCCTTAAAAAAAAACAATAAAAGTTATCCTGCTTCTTTTGTTGTTGTTGTTGTTGTTGTTATTACGCTACCATTATTCTACTTCCAATACAATGGAATACGTGTAGTAGCCCAAATTGTGCTGATATTTAGAAAAAAGAATAATTCCAAACAAAGTTAAAGTTTATGACTATTTTGGCAACTTATTTCTGCTTCATTTTAAAGTCAAGTATCTGACTCTTTCTAGAATTTCTCAATTAGATTACTACTGTTTTATGAAAAGGCAGGAGGAATATCATATTTAAAATCACAGGATTAACTTCTGCCAGTGAAGACAAATTAAAAGACCGGGGTTTAAATGGACATTCTAATGGAATGTCATGTTAAAAGTCCAAGTAACTAAAGCAAATTGAAATTCTCCATGGCATTGCTAACATGCACTGACTGATCTAGGGCACGTCTATCTTTTAGCATCTATGATTCTGTGCAAATTAGTCAGCCACATGGATTCATGGAATGGTCTGTCAATCTCATATTTAGGGGGACTATGAAAAGAGAGTAATGCCAAACTTCTACAGTTTCCCTTTATTCTCTTTATTGAGAGTAGTAAAATGAATTATGCTTTTTTCCAGGTTGGAAATTAGAACAGCATATCCCCAAAAGTTCTCTGTGAAGTACTGGAAATCTTCTATGGAGAAATGATAGATAGATAGATAGATAGATAGATAGATAGATAGATAGCACTTCCTTGGCAAAGTTTGGAAAATATTGCATATCATTCAATAAGTGTTGGAGTAAAGAAATGTTTACTTTATCTAAACATGTTTCCATAGTTATTTGACTACTAATTTTTTTCACTACCATGCATTTGTAGGACACATTTTGGGAAAATCCTATCTTATAAAAGAGTAATATGCAAATTAACTGTCACTCTGCGATAAAGATGGCGGCCCCCATAGTGACGGGGCAGGACGCTGGCGGCGTCACCCTGGAAATGTGAGCTCAGCAGGCTTTGCCTCAACGACCCCCAAGCAGGTCGCGCAGCCCTTGAGCAGGCAAGCACGGCCCACAGGCAGCCCCCAGCAGAGCCGGCTCACAGGTCAATCCATGAGCAGAAAAGCACGGCCCGCAGGCAGCTCCCAGCAGGCAGCACCCAGCAGGGCCTGCTCACGGGTCGCTGTGGCGATCTGCAAGCAGGCAAGTGCGGCCCACAGGCAGCACCCCTCTCTGGCCACAGCTCAAGGGAGAGAACAACAGCAGGCAAGGCCAGGAGCCTGAGAGATCAACACAGATGGGGGCCTGCTTCAAGCCTCCGGGGTGTGGCTGGGGGCAGGCCCTTAGCGGACACACACACACACACACACACACACACACACACACACAGGGCGCCTGCTCCGAGCCTCCTACGCGGCTGGGGGCAGGCCCCCAGCAGGGACACACACACTCACACACACACACATGAGCGCACACACACACACACACATTGGGTGCCTGCTCAGAGCCTCTGCTGCCAGACTGTGGCCATCAGTAGAACATCCACTGAGGGCTCCCGGACTGTGAGAGGGGGCAAGCTGGGTTGAGGGACCCCCACCCCCCAGTGCATGAATTTCATGCACCAGACCTCTAGTCTATAATAAAATGATTAGGCTCTGAGAAGAGCAGAGAAAAGCTTACTTCATATTTCACTAAATGTCACAATTCAAAACCCTTTTCTTGGTGGGTACACCCTTTAAATTACTTATGGAATGAAGTTGGAATATTTACAAAGATTTAAGTGATAATATAGATACATAGTTAAAGCCTGATTTCAGGCTAGTTTATGCATCTCATCTGTATGAAAACGAGTGTTCTGTATTCTCTCTCTCAAGTCTAGTGAAAGTTCCGAAGAGCATTTTAATTTATCTAAAGAAAAACTTCTTAAGAAATTACTAAACTACTTTGGAAAATTTGGATCATCTCCTGGAACTCCTGATTGCCACCATGGTTATCCTGAATCTCACAGAGGCCACAACAGCTACCATCCCCACCACCACCCTCACTCACATGAGAACATTGTAACCCTCACTTCTCAAGCACCAGGAACCACTTCTAGTGCTCCTCCAACTGTAGTTCCCACCACTACCACCACTGTTGCCACCAGGGCCGCTTCCACTGTCCCTGCCAGCAAAACTGCAGGTGTGGCATCCAGCACCATGGATCTCAGCTCCCTCCAACCAGAGGGCACCATCAAGGCTGTGGTGCCAGGCACAGCCCTGGCTGAAGCAACTGACTCTACTGCTGAGAACCAGCAAACAGAGCTTCAGTAAATTCTCCAACCATCTAAGATTATACATGTACCAAGACACAAAAGACAAAGGCAAACCAAGGTAAGCAATATTTTCCAAACTATTTTCTGACGAAATGAGTGACTTGAAAAACTGTCTAAATACTAAAGACCAGGTTATTTGTTTTTTGCCCCATCAAAGAGAAAAGTAAACAACTCGTTTCTAACTCTGCAAAAAATGAGAAGCTTTTATTCCTCTTTCATTTCAAGAACTAAATTTGGTCTCCTTGAATGTATAGGGTTATACCTATAAAGCCAATGATGGTAGCTTCCTACAAAAGAAAGAAAAAAAACAATTTCAGGTCAGTCAGTGTGGTTCAGTGGTTGAGTGTTGACCTGTAAACCAAGAAGTCACAGTTCTATTCCTGGTCAGGCTACATGCCTAGGTTGTAGGCTTGATCCCCAGTAGGGGACGTGCAGGAAGCAGCCATTCAATGATTTTTATAATTGATATTTTTCTCTCTCTCTCTTTTCCTTCCTCTCTCTGAAATCAATAAAAACATATTTTTTAAAAAATGTTCAACAAATGTGTATATTTTAACCTTAATTACGTTCCCAATGCAGAAATATGTGTTGTTTTCTTGAAATAAAAAAGGTCTCAGTAAATAAAGTTAGTTTTTACTTGACAGTTTATTAAATCCCACCAAGTGTGCATTTAGCACAGAGGAATACTCCCCTCACTCTTTCAGGACAGTGATGGCGAACCTATGACACGCGTGTCAGAGGTGACACGCGAACTCATTTTTTTGTTGATTTTTCTTTGCTAAATGGCATTTAAATATATAAACTAAATATCAAAAACATAATTCTTTGTTTTACTATGGTTGCAAATATCAAAAAAATTCTATATGTGACACAGCACCAGAGTAAAGTTAGGGTTTTTCAAAATGCTGACACGCTGAGCTCAAAAGGTTCGCCATCACTGACCTATAACCTCTAAAAAGGCAGAAAAGGATAAAATATTTCAGCAAATATTACAATGAGACTTGAGAATAGAGATATAAACTAAAGCATAAGCACATAGAAGAGCCCTCTTGCTATGAACATTGATTGAAAAACACACTTCATGCTATAACATTCTTAAGAATATTGAAGAAATAGAAGAATATAAAATATTGTTCTTATTTCTAAATATAGTTACTCCTAATTATGAATAAATGAGAATTCTTCCAATTGTCTATAATAATAAAAGCATAATATGCTAATTAGACTGGACGTCCTTCTGGAGGAAGCTGGGGCTGTGCGGGAAGCCAGGGTCCCAGGTGCCAGAGGGAAGCCAGTGCTGGCAGCCGGGGGAAGGAGGGCCTACGCTAGCACAAACTTCATGCATCAGAACTCTAGTATATAATATAAAAAAAAAAAACACAATGAAAGATGCCAATTGTGGAACACTTAGAAAGGTTCTGATGCTGTCATTGCACTAAATTCTCCTTGTACTGAATCTCATTTAATACCCATAGCAACCCTGTAAAGCAAATATCATTGTCTCCTTTTTAGAGATGGGAAAATTGATGTTATGAGAATTTATGTGACATTCCAAAAGACCCCAAAGTATAAATGGTAGACCAGTCTTCACACTCACATCTATTAACTCCAAGGTCCCAGCTTCTAATGTCCTACCCAGTATTTGGCTATTTTAAAACAATTGGAGAAGGAGGAGCCTATGTATTCTTAATTAATTATTTGTGGTGTTTTGTTTTGTTTTTACAGATCATGAAACACTGAATATTGATATATTTGTCATCACCTTCTCTCACCATTTTGGTTTTAACAAAAACATAGAGAAATACACAAAAATAAAGGGATGAAAGTTCTTGTTACTCCTTTAGTTTTGCTATACTGTAAAGAATTTCAAAGATAATTTATGCATTTGATCACATGTGCATTGGTCTCTTCTTTATTTCTCTGTAGAGTAACAGCAATATTATTGGCACCTTCACTCTTCCAGATGACTCTGTAACCCACACAGTACTTGTCCAGGAAATAATATATATAAATGCTTCCAAAGCAAAAATGCCAAAATTGTTTGAAGTCACTCCATATAACATCATATTAAAATATCATAAACATTAGAAATAGACTTTGTTTTAATATAAAGTGAATTTAGTATAATCAAATAATTACATATATATGATTTTAATAAAGCATAATTCTACATATTCAGATACGTATATATAAAATTGCCAACATAATAAAAGTTACAAAGAAGAGGTGCCAATACACCCCTACCTTCAAAGAGATCATAGTCTAGGACACATTTTCAAAAAAAAAACAAATAGAAAGAATATATAAGTTAAATGTCTACCCATCTACAGATATTTTTTCCTGAATATTTTAAATACTATTCTTTCATCTTCATCTAAATAAATATAGTCTCCAAAGATTGTTCTGTTGAAATTTTGTACCATCTTCATGAATCACTTCATCCAAAAATATATTATATCAATTTCTAGTTGATAAATTAATTCATTCAAGTGATTTAGAAAACAAAATTACATAGATCTGAAAGAGGTAACAGAATAATACAAATATAAAAACTCAATCACTATTCCTCAAATATTTAAGTGACAAAGATAAAAACAAGACAATTAACTAAATAACTAAGGAATCTTTAGTAAATATAATATGCAAGGCACAAACAATAATAAACAAACAAGAGAGAAAGATATTCTTCAGGGAGAGCAAACATAGAAAACTATAATGGATAAACTATAGGAGACACAGATAATCCCAAAATCTTAGTACAGAAGAGTTGAAAACGAATTTACTAACTAAAAGATACAACCTAATTGTGAAGAAATAAGAATTAAAGGTCCAGGATGCACATAACCAGAACTAGGGCCTTAAAAATTATTCCAGTATGTACTATAAAATTTCACAGAGGATATAAAAAAGGAGTGATTTCAACATGCAGAAAATTGGTAGGAGGCCCACTGCTAAGTAAAAATACAACAAATGCATGGAGGTAGGAGAGCATTTGGCATTCCTATTCATATTCACATCTTCCAAACAGGCGCTACGTGTAACACTAAGCCAGGACTGCAATGCTGGGAATAGGATAAACTACATACCACACTTTCAAGTGGCTCTTAATCCCATGAAACATAAGTTGTCCATGAATATCAGACTTTCCTGGAAGAATGGATATGAGAACAGGAGGTAATAATTATATTAACAAAAACCAGGATTAAGAGTTTGGATTATTTCTATAGAAAGGAAAATCAATAAAGTTTTAACCACAGTAGATTATTATAGAACTATGCCTTAAAAATAATGAAAGCATTTGATTTCTTACATGTACCATATTATGTTCTATTAGGTTCACATATAATTATTTAACAATCACCATAAACCTATAATTCCCATTATTACTGACACTCTATGCAGGGGTTCTCAACCTGTGGGTCACGACCCCTTTTGGGTCGAACAACCCTTTCACAAGGGTAGCCTAAATACATCCTGCATATCAGATATTTACATTACGATTCATAACAGTAGCAAAATTACAGTTATGAA